GAAAGTTCATTGTCTTAATCACTTTGGGTATTTTCTCTTGATTAATAGCAAAGAGAGACTCATGAGCCATGAATAGGTCACAGAGAAGAAATATTAGAGGTTATTTTAGAATGTGGTTGCATCTGTCTTGTGTTCGGTTTTGTGATTAGATTTTAGCGCTCTCAGGCATCAACTATACCTTACTGCTTCTATAATTTTCTATCCTGATCCCTCAATTTTTAGTAGTTTAGGGGCTTCACAGTCAATTACAAGGGATATCTCTGGTTCTGAAGCTTTTAACCTAGCTTTTAGAGGCAGGGTCAAGGATATTATTTTGTTCCATTGCAATCAAATGACATTTCCAGTTATAGCCATATTCTAAGATTGTCATTTCTTGCTAAGACTTTGGAAAAGGCTATGATTTTGCATCTGGAGAGTCACCTTTCTGAGTTATCTGAAAAGAAAAAACATTGCAGTTTTTCACAATATCTTTCACTAAAAAGTTTCAAATAATTTTTATGGCATTCATTAAGGTTTACAATGCTATATATGTAAGTAGAGAGAAAATTTCTCTGAAATAGAGAATAAAAGTAGCTTAACAGGACAGTGGTAACAATACCTATGGAGATGAGGAAAAAACAATGGTTTAAAAATCGTATACTGTGTAGGAAGAAACACATTACGAAAACTAAAATGTGGTTACAAAGCTTTATCTCACATCTCAATGTGCTTAATATGTCAAGTGATTTATAATATACTGTAAGTGTAGAATGCCTAATAATAATACCTGCTCTTTGCCAGGTACCAATTTAACAACTTTACACCCATTACCAGTTATCATTGTATACTCCCAACGACTCTATTCTATTTGGAATTTAGAGATTGGAGTTACTATCTCATTTTAAAATAAGGATAGTGAGCCACTGAGATGTTAAGTTTCTTGTCCACAGTCACACATAAAGAGGGAAAGATGAGAATTTGAACCTAGAAACATTGATACTTATGTTTATAAATGTATCATATTTTGGAGACCACAATAAACAATGACCGAGGCAATCAGAATTAGTCTTTGAAACACAAGGAAAGCAGAACTAGACGTATTTAAGGAATATGGAAAGCCCCTAGCCCAACATCTTCACCATTAATTTTCTTATTAACTGAAGAGTCACATTCTGTTTTCATTGGAATACATTATTTTTATAACTATAAAATATAGACTGTAATAATAACAGGTAATGATCAGAAAAGGAAAACTAAATGGATAATTCATAAACGGATATATTTTCAACTTCATAAGTTGTTAGGGAAAGCAAGACAGGTTAAAACAACTGTGAAGTACATTTTTACATTCCTTAAATAAAAATAAAATCAGACAGTATCAAGTGCTGGTGATGATGTGTAGACACAAGGACTGTCACACTTTATAGGAGGGAGTACAAGCTACTATGAAGAGCGATTTAGAATTATCTAATATTGTCACAGATGCTTATACACTTTGACACAACAGTTTTACTTCTAGGTATACATGTTAGAAAAATCTTTACACATGTGCACAAGGAGACCATTAGAAAAGTTTTTATTTTTGCAGCATTGCTTGTAAGAGGAAAATACAAACAAGTGGAAAGCATATAAATAACTTAAAATGAATGAACAAGAGCTGCAAGATTCAAAAATGAACAAATTTTAAAAATTGTGGACCTAAGGAAGCCAGATTATCCAAAGATATATACAGTATGATGGGATTTATATAATACTTGCAAACTGCAAAATAATACTTTTTTAGATAGGTATTTGTTCGAATAGTATAACTTATAAAGTAATAATAAACACCAAAATTTATGCATAGTAACGGTTACCTCCAGGAAAGATGATTTGAAAATTGCCTTACAGGGACTTTCAGCTTTTTCTTTTATGTTTTATTTAACATACATTTTAAATATGGCAAAGTTTAGAAATTTGATAAAATGGGAGGGTAGCTACTTGACATTCATTATCTTCTATGCTTTGTTTATGTGAATAAAATATTTGACAATAAACATAATATGTGCTTTTTATAAGAAAATAGAAAATGCAGAAACACCTCATTTATCCCATTACTTAAAGAAAACAATTTAAAAATCAGCCTATTTTCTTACGGTCATACTATGAATTTTATAGCTATTTGTATACCATATACAAAATTGTGTGTTCTAAGTAGAGATAGGCTATGATGTGTGTGTGTGTGTGTGTGTGTGTGTGTGTGTGTGTTTCCTTCCAGTCTCTATTAAAAATAATATTCTAACCCTGACAACACATGATAATATTATTGGATATTACACCTCCAGGTGAAGTATTTTGAGCTTGTTTTCAATCACAGCCACCTAATTTGAGGTCCTGAGGGATTGTAAAACTAGCAGGCATATTTCCATAATAAGAATGGGCAAAAGTTTGGTGTGCTTTCTAAAGGACTGACAGGGTGTGATGGGCAGGTCAGTAAACCCTTTGGGGAGTCGAGGAGAATCAGCATCTGCCTGCATTACTAAGAGGTGGTCTGTGAAGGATAAACTTAACCTGCTTTACAATTTTGCTTTGGGCTAGCCCTGGAGAAAAAGATGAATAAATACACAGGATTTAGTGTTATACTGTATCTAATATACAATTTGAAGCAATAGCTTATTATTAGAAACACTGACTGAGACATAATTTATCATCAGCATACGAAAAGTGTGTGATCATTTCCAACCAGCACAGCATAGCAGCACAGATTTTTTTTTTTTTTTTTTTTTTTTTGTAAAATATGCCTTGTGTGACTGATTAAAAAGTGAACAGTCCTCTGCAGCCATGGGTCCATTGTGATTTGTGAAATCGGTGCCTGTTTTTCTGCACCAGCCTCTATGGGCCCAACTCTGCTTTCAAGCAAAGTTAAGAGGCACATGCATTGGGGTAGTTTAAGGGGTCAGTAGAAAGGCTGAGCTTCACAATGTTGGTCTGACAATATGTAATTAGAGATTTTTTTTTTTTGTGACATACTAATATAACCCTAGGAACGGTATCATGTAAACTTTACCAGTTGCCTCCTTGCTATTTGGAAAAAGGAAGGGTTGAAATGTCAGGTTCTGGTTTAGTATAAGGCAAGTGAAGTTGTGTAACGTCTGATCCTTTATTTAAAATTTGTGTATTTTATTCATCATGGATTGTTGGATTAATTTTGATTTTTAAAGTATTATATTGTATTACAATAATATTTATCTTGATTACTGAGTTTCATGGTATCTCCTTAAATTTTGTGTGTCTTACTCACCTTACTGGCCACACCCTAATCCCCTCAGGATAAAAAAAAGTGACAGTGGAGAACATGTGGAACTCCCCACAAAACCATTCAGCTACCTCTGGGGATGATGACATAGGCTTAAACATATCATTTATATATACATATATACACACACACACACACACACACACATACACATACACACATATATACACACACACACGTACTAAATATACATATATATATATATGTATATTTAGTACTATATATATAGTATATATAATAATGACCTGGTGTCAGAATATCAGCAATACCAAGATGCCACAGCTGAGGAGGAGGAGATTGAGGAGTGTGCTGGGGAGGAGGTAGCCTAGAAGCTTCCTTTTCTAGGTAAAGGGGGAAGTAGTATGGATTATTCAGTGTGTGTGTGTGTGTGTGTGTGTGTGTGTGTGTGTGTGTGTGTGTGTGTGTGTGTGTGTGTGTATGTGTGTGTGTATGAATGATATGTTTGAGCCTATGTCATCATCCCCAGAGGTAGCTGAAGGGTTTTGTGGGGGAGTTCCACACATTCTCCACTGTCACTATATATATATATATATATATATATGGTACGTGTGTGTGTGTGTGTGTGTGTGTGTGTGTGTGTGTGTGAATGATTTGCCTCTGTCCCTACCCAGATCTCATCTTGAATTGTACTTGAATTGTATATAATTCCCACCGTTGTGGGAGGGACCTGGTGGGAGATAATTTTGCATCATGGGGGTGGTTTCCACTTACTGTTCTCATGGTAATGAATAAGTCTCACGAGATCTGATGGTTTTAGCAGGGGTTTCTGTTCTTGCATCTTCCTCATTTTCTCTTGCTACCACAATGTAAGAAGTGCCTTTCACCTCCCGCCATGATTCTGAGGCCTCCTCAGCCATGTGGAACTGTAAGTTCAATTAAATCACTTTTTGTTCCCAGTCTCGAGTATATCGTTGTGAGCAATATGAAAAGGAAGTAATACAATAAATTGGTGCCAGAAATGGGGTATTGCTGAAAAGATACCTGAAAATGTCAAAGCAACTTTGGAACTGGGTAACAGGCAGAGGTTGGAACAGTTTGGAGGGCTCAGAAGAAGAGAGAAAAACATGGGAAAGTGTGGAAGTTCCTAGAGACTTGTTGAATGGCTTTGGCCAAAATCCTGTTAGTGATACAGACAATAAGGTCCAGGCTGAGGTGGTCTCAGATGGAGATGACAAACTTGTTTAGAACTGGAGCAGAGGTTACTCTTGTTATGTTTTAGCAAACAGACCAGTGTCATTTTGCCCCTGCCTTAGACATTTGTGGAACTTTGAACTTGAGAGAGATGATTCAGGGTAACTGGCAGAAGAAATTTCTAAGCAGCAAAGCATTCAAGAGGTGAGATGGGTGCTGTTAAAAGCATTCCGTTTTATAAGGGAAGCAGAGCATCAAAGTTTAGAAAATTAGCAGCCTGATACTGTGATAGAAAAGAATAACCCATTTTCTGAGGGGAAATTGAATAAATTTGCATAAGTAACAAGGAAATTTGCATAAGTAATGAGCTGAATGTTAATCCCCAAGAGAATGGGGAAAATGTCTCCAGGGCATGTCAGAGGTCTTCACCACAGCCCTTTCATCACAGGCTTGGAGGCCTAGGAGAAAATGGTTTCATGGGCTAGGCCCAGGGTCCCCATGCTGTGGGCCTCCTGGGGACTCGGTGCCGTGCGTCCCAGCTGCGCCAGCTGTGGCAGAAAGGGGTCTACATAGAGCTTGGGCCATGGCTTCAGAAGGTGTAAGCCCCAAGCCTTGGTGTGATGTTAAGCCTGCAAATGTGCAGAAGTCAACAACTTTAGTGTGGAAACCTTAACCTACATTGCTGAATTAATGAATACCTTGATGACGGAATGTAACTGAAACTTCTGTTTTTTTCATGTAAAAGAGATATTTTTGATTAAGCAAAGTGTTATTTAATGTTGAGAAAAAAACCCTATGAAGAAAACTAAATTGTTCACAAACATACTTGTTCAGGTGGCTACCTAAATACCTGCAATGGTGAGCTGGAAGATTATCAGCTATATGCATTGAGTTAATGAGACTACCTCTCTCTCTCTCTTTTCTTTCTCACTCTCTCCTGCTCATTGAATAAAATTAACATTTACAAAAGAATCTCTCTTGTAAGCACTTCTGTCACTAACTCAATCTCACTCTTTACTGCCTTTTACCTGAACAATCATTGTCCCCAATTATATTTGTCTGTTAATTTATTCACTTCTTCACCCCTTTTTCCTTCTACTCATTTAAGTCATCTATCAAATGTCAATAATTATAGCTTTCTTGAGGATCTTAATACTCACTTGCTAACCACAACAACATCACCCTGATGTGATTCTGCTATGTTTTGCACTATAATACCTGAAGAAGAGAAGGCTTTGCTTAGGGTTAATTCATTCATTAATTCAGCCTGTCATACCATTTATTCAACAAATATTTAGTGAACACCTACTATAGGCAAGAATAACATTGGGTGTTGTGGACAAATCAATGAGCAAAAGTTGATCTTCTGTGTGTTGTGTAGATGGATTTAAACTGGTAACTATAATAACAATGCAGTAGTATATAGAGTTGTTCATTGCCATCTATGTGCTCCGAAATCCCCACAAGTCCCCAAATCCCTGGATGTTTAAGTCCTTGATATAAAACGGTACAGTATTTGCATACAACCTATGTGCATCCTCCCATATACATTACATCATCTCTGGATTATTTATAATACCTAATATAATGTAAATGCTGGGTGAATAGTTATTATACTGTATTGTGTAGAGAAAAATGACAAGAAAAAAGTCTATACATATTTAGCACAGAAGAAACCACCCAGTGTTTTCTGAATATTTTCAATTCGGGTTGATGTGAAACCCACACATAGGGAAGCTGATTGTATTTTAACTGTCAACCAACTATCCTATACATTTTTTTCCATTTAAGAAATTTTCTCTTATTCTGTGGCCCTTCTTTCTATATTACAGGATATCTACGACCCCAGGAATGTTTGGTATAGCAGGAAATAGGAGCTCCTTAGAGATACACTTGGTTAAAGCTTTCAAGTTCTAAAGGCCAGCCTTAATGCTAGGCTTGTTATAGGTTTCCTTTTGTTCAGAATAATAATAGTGTTTATTTTTTTGTATTAAGTAAGTCTGAACAAAAATAAAGTAGGTCTTATTATTATTCTTTTTACAAATAATAAAACTGAGGTACAAACAGCTCACTTACTAAAGGCCCCAGAGTTGTGAAATGGTAAAACCAAGTTGCCAGCCCAGTGATCCAAACACATCTTGTATGGTTTGTATAGGTGAAAAATGACCTCCAGTCATTGTCCACTGAACAATTGTGATTGCTGGTAAAAAAAAAAAAAAAATCCATTTAAAAATAGATTTATGGTATTATTTTCTAATGACTTTTGGGACACAGAAACAATCATTTCAAATTGAACAGTACCTAAAAAATTCATAAGCACATTTATTAGATTACAGTAACACATACGATATTATTTTCCTGAAAATTGAACCACTGGATTGAATTGCATGAAATGTTCAAGTTAGGTTATTAATTCTCATGAACGGAGTGTATCATTTTTCTAAAGAAATTATATTGACTTCCTATTGAACACCAAATTGATTTTAATATTTAACCAGTTAAAGCATTCCTGGGGACATGAAAGTAAAATTCACTTGTATTTAGTCTTTGTGTATATACAGCTTCCTCTGAAGGAGTATAATTGTTTCTTCAAGATATAGCTAAAACCAGTCTCAAAAAAACAGCGGTTACACTAGCCGCCTGAACTTGGGGCCCTCTGCTGAATTCGTTGAAGTAGTTTAAATTTGAACTTAATTTTTATATTTTCAGTGCAGGCATTTTCCACTTTAATGCATCTCTATCTTTTTGGCCATGCGCTGTTTAAGAATAAAGGATATTATATGTGCAGCTACTTGATAGAATACATTCTTAAAAGGAGGCGTGTGCACCTGCCAAATACACAGCCTGTGTACTGGTTGATGAAAGAATTCTTAGGATTGCATTTTCTCTTGGGGTCCACTCCCAGATTTTAGTAATGGACTTCTTTGGAAACTATATACACATGTTTGTGTGAATGATTCCAGGACTGCTGTTCCATTGCCAAGAAAGGCACATGCTAGTTCACAGTCCAGGTATCCTGGGGACTAAAACGAAGCCCTGCAGGCCTCAGAGAATATCATTATAAATGATTTTATTCATTTCTTTAAAAAAATCTGTATAAGAGAGATACATTACTAAATGTACAATCACCTTAATGAATTGGCACAAAACATATTACTTGAAATACCAATTTTATATCAATATTCTCCCAATCCCTTAGAGAAAAACTGCTGAAAATACAGCACAAGCATTTTAAAAAGTTCTTAGCAGAAGAGATAAAGAAACAACATGTTTCCATAGTGTACACTTGTGTACTGCTGGGTGAAGTGACAGACCATCTGTGAAGATACATAAATAATAGCTATTTAAGGAGCTGATTGACCACATCTAATCAAGATACATTGTGAAAAGCTGCTTTAATGAGGTAATGAATTAAGATGTCCCACAACAAAATACAAATGGTATATCTCGGGAATGATGTCTTAATAATTGCATTAATGCAAGGTCATTTACAACACACGATTATTTCTTGTGTGAAGTAATCTTTTTGAAGAAGTACCTGAAGTATGTTTTATATTAAATTTGAAAGAGGGTAAAAGGCACCTATGATTTTGAATGCCAGCAAACACTGGACATAATGTCACTGAAAGTGACTGTTTTTCATGATACTTTGTTAAATACAAAATGAACAATTCTTTAAAGATTGTTTCATTATATAATGACTTTAAAGTGGAATTATAGAAACACCTATGCAGGGCTTGTTTCTACAAACCAATAAGAAGGGACTCAGATGATCTCTGTATATAGGTGGAGACCTGCTGGTTGTAAGATACTGATATTATTCAAGGATTTCCCCATTTGCTGTAATTTCTAGATCCATTATCAGGAAAAGTTTACAATTAATGTTTATGTGAATATTACATTTACGTCTTTTATATTCTTTTTAAGTTTTGCTTGTTTGTTAAACCCAATATATTTTGGTTTGTGGAAATTTGTTTAGGGGAGAAATTCCCTTAAACCCTGTACCCTCTTGCTCTACCTACATGGAGATTGCAGCCCTCTAGGGAAGATAAAGAAAGTGTGCTTTTGTTAGTGTAACTCCCTTCCAACTACTTGAAGGGGTACATGAGAAACTAGTCAGGAAAGAATCTGTGAAGATTCATGCACATCCCTTTTCAGGCAGAACACAGATACGTCTAATTCATAAAATGACACTTATAAAACATTTCTGTGGTTATTGATGAATTTCCGCCATCTTCCCTGGACCACATGCTCTATGAACAAAAAGGCAATACCTTTTCTTGTTCATTACATTTCCATTTATCTTCAGCTCAGCTAGGCAGGAAAGTCTTCTTAAAAAGTTCTTTCATTTATTTATTTTTTTAAATTCCAAAAGTGTTCAGAAAGACAATCAAAGCTAAAATAAAAGATGAATATTTTTTGCCAATATTCTGACATTTTATCACACCTAAAAGAAAGTAAATCTAATCTACATAGTCTTTACTTAATTATTTTTTGCCTTGGTCAATATGTAATTACCTAATTGCATACGTTTTTATACTATAGCACAATTTGTGCTTTGAGTTTTTCTAAGAGTTTTCTAGAAAAAAGGAATGATAACTGTTCAGCTATTGTGTGAATAATGTCATGTATAATTGGGAGTAAATATTAATAATTGCATAACAAAATCATATTTTGTGTGTGGGACTTAAGGCCAATCTTTCTATAAGGCAATTTTTAAAAATTTTATCTGGTACTTTAGGAAAAACATGTGAGATTTGAAAAATTTCTGTTGATACATGCGTTTCTACTTTGGAATCCATTTTAACTTTCAAGTGATGGCAAACAGCTGTTAGAGGCTGGGAAGCTAGGGGAAAGAAGCAGACATGAAAGACTATTTCAGACGGAATCCTGAACTAGTTTATAAGATGCTAGTCACATAAGAAAAAGACACATTGTTTTTTCTACAAATGTCGAAGGAAGATTTTAAATTGTGGGGTTGATTTTGTTTTCCAGTTTGGAAAAATGTGTTATTCCTAGGTGTTGACTCTTAATCTTTTGAAGCATCAGAAAATGTGTAAAGTAAACTAAGTGTTTATCTTGATGTATCTGCAGGCAACCTCTCAAATGCGGCGATTGAAATGAAATCTTTCTAAGCATCCTGGAAAATAACCACTGTTTTCTCCACTTCTTAACTGCTATAGGGCAATATTTAACTCTAATTTATCCCAGCACAGAGTTTTGTTTTTTTTTTAACTGCTTTAAGAATGAGACTACATTGATAAAATATACTTTTATACCTTTGCTTAAAATACTTCTTACTTGAACATAAATAATTTCTTGGAAAAAAATTACAAAAATTGTTGGATTTAGATCTTGACCACTGACATCCCTCTAAAAATTATAATATTTGTTGAAAAGGAACACCTTATGGTGTAACTGAGGAAATACTAATGCATATATATATATATATATATATATATATATATATATATATATATATACACACACACACACACACACACACACACACACACACACATATAATTGCATTTTAGGTTTTGGGGTACATGTGAAGAACATGCAGGAAGGTTGCATAGGTACATACATGGCAATGTGTTTTGCTGCATTCCTCCCCATCACCTGTATCTGGCATTTCTCCCCATGTTATCCCTCCCTAACTCCTCACCCCCGGCTGTCCCTCTACTGGTTCCCCCCGACAGACCTCAGTGTGTGATGCTCCCCTCCCTGTGTCCATATGTTCTCATTGTTCAACATCTGCCTATGAGTGAGAACATGTGGTGTTTGATTTTCTGCTCTTGTGTCAGTTTGCTGAGAATGATGGTTTCCAGGTTCATCCACGTCCCTACAAAGGACACTAACTCATCGTTTTTATGGCTGCATAGTATTCCATGGTGTATATGTACCACATTTTCCCTGTCCAGTCTATCATCAATGGGCATTTGGGTTGGTTCCAAGTCTTTGCTATTGTAAACAGTGCTGCAGTGAACATTTGTGTGCACGTGTCCTTATAACAGAATGATTTATAATCCTTTGGCTATATGCCCAGTAATGGGATTGCTGGGTCAAATGGCATTTCTATTTATATGTCCTTGAGGAATCGCCACAGAGACAATGGTTGAACTAATTTACACTCCCACCAACCGTTAAAAGTGTTCCCGCTTCTCCACATCCTCTCCAGCATCTGTTGTCTCCAGATTTTTTAATGATCGCCATTCTAACTGTTGTGAGATGGTATCTCAGTATAGTTTTGATTTGCATTACTCTAACAAACAGTGATGATGAGCATTTTTTCATGTTTGTTGGCCTCATATATGTCTTCTTTTGTAAAATGTCTGTTTACATTCTTTGCCTACTTTTGAATGGGCTTGTTTGTTTTTTATTTTTAAATCTGTTTTAGTTCTTTGTAGATTCCGGATATTAGCCCTTTGTCAGATGGGTAGATTGCAAAAATTTTTCCCCATTCTGTTGATTGCTGATTCACTGTAATGATTGTTTCTTTTGCTGTGCAGAAGCTATGGAGTTTAATTAAGTCCCATTTGTGTGTCTTGGCTTTTGTTGCCAATGCTTTCGGTGTTTTAGTTGTGAAGTCCTTGCCTATGCCTATGTCCTGAATGGTTTTGCC